ATGGGGAAAACTTTCAGGTTGGTGAAGAGAAGGTGGCACACCCTGGTTCCACGAAGACAGAAGCTCTTGCTTCAGGACTCTTCTGGACCTGGCCCTATCTATGTACCTCTCCATCTAACTGTTGATCAGTATCCCTTATAATATCCTTTATAATAAACAGGTAAATGTAAGTAAATGTTTCCCTGAGCTTTGTGAGCCATTCTAGCAAACTATCAGACCCAAGGAGGGGACTGTGGGAAGCCCCAGTTTACAGCTAACTGGTTAGAAGTACAAGTAACCTGGACTTGCAATTGGGATTTGTGATTGACATCTGAAGTGGGGAGCAGCCTTGTGGCACTGAGCCCTTAACCTGTGGGATCCGATGCTATCGCCACATAATGTAAGAGTTGAGTTAAATTTGTAGGACACCCAGTTGCTGTCTGCTGAGAATTGGAGAGTCACTTGATATGGAGGGGAAAAATTCCACATATATATCTGGTGTCAGAAGTATTAACAGTAGAGGAGTTTTCCCTTATAATCACCCTTTTAGAAGATCCAGCTTATGAACAGTCAGACTGATTCCCAAAACAATGCATCAGTTTAACCAAGAGTTGTTTTACCTTTCAAATAACCTCTATGTAGCATTCTTCCTCAGCACATTTTAAAGTATTCTTATGATTAAAACGCCCCTTACCCCTCCTGTTGCAGAATCTCATCTGCTTAAGCCAAGTGCAACATTCCCATGGGACCAAAAAACTCCTCTCTCTAATTTCGCAGGGAAGACAGTGAGGCTTGGTCAAATGACCTGCTCAGGAGCAGTCCCCTGTCCTAGCTACTAAACCAATAAACCTAGCTCAAGTCTATCATTTCTGTATTCTCACTTTAAACAACTTTCATACTGGTGGAATTTTTTCCATGTGGACCTCACCTTACCCAGAACACATTATCTCAACTGAACCCTGCAAGACACAGCCCTTGTGAAATCCAGAGGCAGAGGCATTTTGGACAGCTGCTTTATAATATGATTAGGGACACCCAAGTCCATCACACAGTCAGATGGGAGAACACAAGCCCTCCAGGCTGGAGCTGGCTACACTCTCTTCCCAGCTCTGTCACTCAGTGGGTGTTCAACCTCACTAGCTATCTTACTTAACTATGTCTTGGCTTTTTTACCTTCAGTAAAATAGCGAAATATATATAATATATATATATAATATATATTATGTTGTCTAATGAGACAACATAACTGTTCATGTTCCTCAACAAGTGAAGCAAAAATTACACATGTGGCTATATAATTAATAAAAGCATTCCAGGATCATCTTTTGTTGGAGTTTGACTTCTCATTATTTATAATCCTTCTGTATTGGAAGGAAGCAGTTTTATTCAAGAGATTAACTAATCTGCCTGAAGTCACAGAGTTTGAGCTGTGTCTCATTCCCTTCTGAACCCTTGTGTAGTTTTCTTAGGACCACATACTGCTATTCCCAACCATAAAGGGTACAGAAAAAAGAAAAAAAAAGGTTTAATAATGAAGTCCAGGAGGCCACTGTTTTTCAAAATCAGCACTATTGATATTTTGTACAGAATAATTCTTTGTATGGGGAGCTGTCCGGTGCACTGTAGGACGTTTACTGGCACCCCTGGGTTCTACCCACTAGATGCCAGGAGCAGCCTCCCAGTTGTGACAACAAAAAATGTCTCCAAACACTGCCGAATGTCTCCTGGGGAGCAAAACTGCCCCTAGTAAAGAATCATTACATTATACATGTAACACACAAATATTTGAAAGCCATCACCTAAAAGGAAACCTTTAGGCCAAAAAGAGAAAACAAATAGAAGGCATAATTCTCTTTAAATATCTGAAAAGTTTCCATATAGAGGTAGGAACAGGTTTTGGATGCCAGAGAGTAGAACTATACCCAGTGGGTAGAGGTATACATAACAAAATCAGCTAACATTTATTTTTCCTACACTCCAGGCACTGTTCAGTTTATTTAATCATCACAGTAACCCTATGAAGTTGGGAGTTCTGGCTCCACTTTACAGATGAAAAAGATGAGGCTCAGAAATGTTAAAGAATTTGCCCAAGGTCCAACAGCAAAAGCAGAACCAGAACTCAAACTGAGATCTAACTCTAAGCCCAGGCTCTGAAACTAACCAAGCTACTACAAACATGACAAATTAAGGATTTTTACCTCAATTAAACAAAACACTCTGACTGAAAAGCTGTTTCATCAATAATGATTCTCACAGCCCCCATCTCAATCCTATCTGTCCAATCAGAAGCAGATCCAAAAAGCCTTTCTTCATAACCTCCAGGCAAGTCTCTGCTCTAACTCCAACCAGCCCCTTTACAACATTCAGCTTTCCCTATTTCAAGTTACTCAAGCTACTCTGTCAAGCTCTTCATTAGAAAGCTCCTTGAGAGTGGGGCAACCAGCTACTCTCCTTTACACCCCCACAAAGCCCTGCACATACTGGGGCTCAATAAACCTTTTCTGAATGACTGTTCTTGAGGCAGAAGGCCTCCGCACCACTCACACCCTCCAAAGCCCACACCAGCAGGGATGTTTAAGTAGGCACTTTTGACGGATGTAATTCTTGCACTTAAGCTGAAGATTGTATTGGAAATACTCTGAGTTTTTCCCAACTCTCAGGATCTGAGTTCAGGAAGAGTCAGAAAGGGAAAGATGGCTGGTAATACAGCTCCTTGCCTACATCTTCAATCCAGCTCACAAGGACTCACTAGACTATGACCATGTAACATGTGTCAGGGGTTACATATACTTACAGGTGAATGTACACATATACACATATCCGTGTGTATCTATGAACACATGTACAGACACCCCTTGGCATCTGTGGGGGACTGGTTTCAGGATCCTGCATATACCAAAATCCATGGACACTCAAGAACCTTAGTAAAATGGTGTAGTATTTGCATATAGGCAATAGCATGGTATGCCTACATATCAGTTCATTTGCATGGATTCAGCATAGTGCTTGGTGAGTAGCAAATTAAAGTTTTGCTTTTTGAAATCTTCTGGGATTTTTTTCCCCAAATATTTTCAATCCACAATTGGTTGAATCTGCAGATGCAAAAACCATGGATACAGAGAGCCAACTGTATATACCTATATCTCAGTTCCCTCTGTAAGATATTAAGCAAATGTCTACAAGATTTCTGAGGCCTTGAAGCCAGCACAAGGAGGTCTAAATTAGACGCTTCTTTTTTCCCCTAGTATATTAATAAGGTAAGGCAAATAATGCTATACACAGTGTTCTTCAAAATTTAATGCCAGCACATCTGCCAACCAGTACTACCTCCCCCAGGTACCAGAGTCTGGTATCCTCTCAGAAAAATGTCAAGTGACCAAGGCCTTGTTCATGTGTGTGGCAGTGAAGAGATGCTCACACTGGACAGGGGAGACAGGAAAGCATCCTTTGGAACATTAAACATTAGTTTGGAATGCCACCTGTCAAGAGACAAACACTAAATTGTATCTTATGGGCACTATATTTCCATTAGAAATCCCAGGTCTCCAGACTAAAATACTTCTATTCAATAAAAAAAAAAAAAAAAAAAAAAAAAAAAAAAAAAAGCTATGCTCAATATTCAAAGAAGTAGAAACTTGTCTTCTCCTCATATCCAGCTAGTGGTGAGTTCTCTAGGCTAATTTAGGGGTGAAGGGGGAGAGGTGGCTGGGAATACCACAGAGTAGAGCAATCAAGCAATTGCTTTGCCAAAGGGTCAGACTCAAATAAGGACCAGAGATGATGAGAAGAGCACCTGGCATAAACCACACTAGGGGTCCCTCCTTAACACCTGTGTTTTTGAGCAGTACAGCAAGGACAATAATCATGTACCAACACAGCCTTTCCTACTGTCACCAAGTTCCTCTCCATGGTATGGAGGTCTTCTGGTTCTTTCCTTCCTAACCTTGTATCTCCGTCAATGACATGGCATTTTCCCCTTATGTGCAACCAATCGCCATTCCAAAGAGGAAGAAATGGAACTGTCCCAGAAAATGCTTTCAGACAGATGATGAAACGGGCTGGCCAACTGGTACAGGAGCCAGTGCAAAATTAAACACATCAACACGACCCCAAAAGCTTCCAGGACCAACTACAAACCATCTCCTCCATCAATCTGCAGATAGATTTTTTTCCCTTTAACTGAGTTTCCGAATTTGGGATAACCCGTCAGAAGCTTTTAAATGTATGTGTCTTATTCCGGGGACCAGTCGAAAATCCAAGCCATTTAACTGATGTGTTTAAATGGGGCCTACTTTTAATCTATCCACCTTTATAGGGCAAAAGGGGAGCTTGGAAGCCTGTAGTTTGGCGCTTGTCAACAACACTTTACTCAAGTCAAGGCAATTAGGCCCATGACTGTCAAAAATTTATCTCAAAGCTCCTGTCCTGTGCACATCAATCACAGTCACGGCTGAACACAAAGAATTTTTAAAGATTCTTTCATCCACACCCAAGGGGAGGTGTGAGGAGAGCCGAGAAATCATGGAGACAGGGACAGCCTGTGTCCAAGGGGGCAGCTGCTTCTGAGACCTGATTTGGGACAGGGCACGGAACCAACCAGTGGTACTTTTCTCTCCAAATCTCCCTCCATCTTTACATCTTGCCCATTCACCATATTTCGGTCCAAAAAACAGTTGTTTTTCTCCTTTGAGAGGTTTATGGCGAGAGCAAGAAGGACTGAAGACAAGAGAGGGTCGAAACCTGGCATTTGCTGCAACGCTTAATGCTGGAAAACGTGTAGCTGTTTACTACCAGCGCCCGGGAGACGCCGAGCGCAGCGCGCAGCTGAGTTCACCCCCACGGGGCCCGACCCCACCTCCCCCACCGCCTCAGGCGCATTTGGGCGTCGGGGAGACAACCCACCGGCCCTCCCCAACGCGCCCCCGAGACCCGGAGGCTCCCCGCGCGCCGACCCCCAGGGCATCAGCGCGGTCTTCCCCCGACCCCCGCGCCCACCCCGCGCGCTGCCCGTCCCAATTTACCTCGGAGGCCCGGGTTGTCGTCTCTGGCACGAATCTTTCGGATTTTGACTGGGTGCCCGCTCAGAGTCGACAGGACCAGACGCTGGCGCAAGAAGTTGCAACCCGCGTAGCTGAGAGAGTGCGTCTGAGTCGCCATGTGCGCTCCCAGCGCTAGGCGCGGGCAGCGGGGTACAGCGACTTCTGACGGGCGCGAGGGTCACGACCCGGGAGGCGACGGAGGCGGTAGCAACCGGGGTTCCCTCCCGCAGCCCCGCAGCCCCGTAGCCCCCGGCGCGTCCACGTGGTTTGGAACAGGAAGACGGGGAAACGAGACACCGGGTCAGAGGGGAGCGGGGCGGAGCCGGTGACCGCCTCCCCGCCTCCCCGCCCGGCTGGAGGGGGGGGGTCCAGTACCGAGCCACGCTGCTATTGGCCCTCGCAGGATCAGGGCGGTGCCCGCGCCGCGCCGCCATTGGCCCACCATGGGACTGGGCGGTGCCTGAGCCATATCCATTGGCCCGCACTAGAATTGGGCGGTGCCCGGGCCCCGGCAACAGCGCGCGGCGGGAGGAGTAGGGAGGGGTGGCCTGGGAGTCGAGGTGCGGTAGCTCGCTGGCCCCGGCAGCCTCCGCGGTTCTCTCCCAGGGTAGAAGCAAGGGGAGGAGATAGACTAGGGTTGAGTGCCTACTGCATCCCCGGTACTTAGGCTCGCTACTTACAACTACTGGGATGTGGATGGTATTATCTTCCCCGCCTTTTTCTTAATAGAGAAGAAAACAGGATTGGCGCGCTTACCCTGTTGCTGCTGGCGCTGTACCCTCGTTCCCCCCCTGTAATCCTGCGAGGTACTGCCATTCCCTCCTTATACATTGGGAAAGGCTCGAGGAAAATTGCAAAGCTGGCAATGGCAACATGCATTGGGACTCCAGTCTCCGGACACCAGGCCAGTGCATATTTAATAATGAGGCACCAAGCGTTGCCCCTTTCGCATCGGTCCCTTCCTTTATGTTCACAGCGCCAAGTCAGGTCCTCCCATCTCGCATACCACAAAATGGGTAGTTGTAATAACTTCACACAAGCACATACTGCTTCTCCCTCTTTCCTGTCCTCTAATAATCCTGCACACCAAAATTTTACTAAGATTGGATTATGCCACGCTTCTCAAAAACCTTCAAAGATGCGCGGTTAACTATCAACCACAAACTTAGGAGTCCAATATCATCATAACGTGGGTTTGCAGCCATTCTTGGACAACGTCATCAGACCGTGAGCTCCAGAACACACTGGGGGGGGGGGGGGGGGACGGACGATCTGGAAGGGGTGGGAGCTTGAATAAGATTAACAAAGGTAGCTAGCTTTGTGTGGATAAGTCTCAGTTATGAGAAACCACCTGGAAGGTCTGACCTCCTATAGGGTGACTGGTTATTAGAGGTGTAAGTAGAATTTAACAGAATTAGCCCTGAAATCCGTTGAGGGAGGTGGGTAATCGTGTCTATTATTGCCATTTCTTCAGACTGCCTTTCAGGAAGTTGACAGTGATGATGTGGGAGTGTTGAAAGCTCTAGCACCTGTGAGGGCCTCCCTTGAACGCTGCCCTAGGGAATGACAAAGCAAGGAGAGGAGCCATCACACCAGGAGTGGGTTTTTTGTGTATCATCTCATTTTAATTATTCAACAACCTTAAAAAACAAATAATATCCTCTGTAGCAAAGCCTGTCGGTGCGCTGTTCATATCCCTTCAGTTCTTAGTATTTTCACTACAAACTTGCTTAATTTTCTGCTAACAACACCTATATCTCTTTGTCTGAGGGTTTTTCCCACCTGCATGGCCAAAGGTACTGGGGAATTAATGCCCCCCAGTGTCCTAAACCAATGGATGACTGATGAGAGTGGATGTGCCCCAGCTCTCTCAAGGCTCCCCAGAGGTTTTAGCTCCAGTTGCCCACAGGGATAACTTGTTTGATCACTCAGTTGACTTTTATTGACTTCCTTCCCTTCCCTGTATCCTTCCCAGCTCCCTTCTGATAATTATTGGGATTAACTCCCAACTAAATTATTTTCACTCAAATTAGTACTGCCCCAGGTTCTTCTGGGCAACCTCAAAATAAGTCCTGATTTTTAAACTTTGAGAACTGAGGGTTAGAGACAATAAATGACCTGCTTAACGTTACATAGCTAATAAATGGCAGAACCAGAATAGAAAGTCTCTTCTTCTCTCCCTCTCTCTCTCCCT